GCCAAATTTTAATAAACAAAAGAACAATTTCATGGTTCTTGCTAAACTCTTTAAAAATTAATCTTTTTTTTTTTTTTTTTTGGTACCAGGGATCAAACTCAGGACCTCATACTCGCCAGGCAGGCGCTTACGCTGCTGAGCTAAATCCCTGGTGTTTCCTTCAATCTTTAAAAAGCAGATTTGATTCCTTAAATATTACTTTTATCATTTAAATTTGAGGTTTTAAAAAAATGACTTTTATTGGTGTAGTTTTTTAGCTAGAGAAACTGTTAATATATGAACTTTATAATACATTCACGGAATAGACAAATCTAGGCCTACTTGAGCAAATTCTTGCCATATTAACAGTAACATTGCTGCAATTAATTCAGAAATCATATAGGGACCTAAGATATATAGACAATGGAAAATAATATAGGGAAAAGAAAAAAGCAGGAAAGCAAATTATTTCTTTTCCTCAGTGGAGAAAGCAGGACTATAATGAAGAACCAGACATTTTTCCAGATTAATCTATATACAGGAGTAACAAGTGTTGATATTCATCATTACTAAGCCAGTCTTACCTACGTTTTTGGTGGACTGATATATAGTCACCAGTTTTAACTAGGATATAAACCCTAATAATGTCACCAAGATACTCAATCTTCACAAATAACAAAAACAGAAGGGAGGCTGAAGAAGCACAGAAATATAATAAAAGCATTTCTTATAATTAAACCACAAAGGCAACTTACAAGGAAGAGTCACATTATAGTTTCTTTAATAAGCTTATTTATTCCAGAATAAAGAGGTATCAAGCATATATTTATTTCTAATAATAACTATTTAGGAAATCAATTATATGCTTGGTACTAGCTATACAAAAATATAAATAAGGCATGATCCTTGGCCTTAAATAGCTCATTGCCAAAAGAAAGAAAAACATACAAACAGGAACAGAAATGGTTAAGTATCTGTTAGAACATGAGAAGACTTTACAAGGAGCTAATATATGAATTATTTCTTAAGTGACAAGTAGCATTTACTCTTTTTTTAAGTATTGAGACTATGAGGAAAGAGGGCATTCTAGCAGAATGAATGAAGGTATATCTCTGAAAGTGCAAAATTGCTCAGAAATAGGTAGAATAGTAATTTAAGGGGCAAAAAAAAGAAAAAGAAAACCAGCTTTTTCCTAACAGGGCATAGGATCCAGCAACAAAAGACATTTAGTCAAAATTCTGTCATATATTAATGGTATTTTCTTGGATACAAGACCTTCCATTTCACCTTAATAATTTTTCATCTTCTACCTTAAAATTATGCCTACTAAAAATATACTTTATAAACCATAAAATGCTTTAAGAGTTTTAAAAAACCTAGATATACAAATATATAAAAATACTAAAATTTCAAGATTAAAGTGTTAGTTTATCTTTTTATAGTGAGTATTCCATATGTGCAAATTTGAATGACAATCTATCATCTGTAAAAATTTCACAGAAGGAAACCTTTTCAAACTGTAAAAGTTGTTTAATATTAGAACCTAACAGGAAAAATACAATCTAATTGCCACTATAGTCCATATAATGATATAATGCAAAAGAAGCCTACAGCATCTCTACAGTCAACAAGTTTCATAAGTTTTAATGAAAGAAGCTTTACTTAACTGGTTTCTCTGATGGGAAATTAAAGCAATTAAATTGTACATCTGTGTCTCTGTTCCTCTCATCGTGGTTTAACTGACAGGAAGCAAAGAATAAGATATGGCATACTAACGTCAAGTATTTCCTGCCTTCTCTGCTACATCTTTAAGTCATATTTTATAAATAGTCTGATAGTTTATGGAAAAATATATCAAAGTATGGCATTAGAAACATATGAATGATGAAGAATGTTTATGAAAACAAGAGCCAATAAAAGAATTTTGGTGTTGGAATGTAAAATTCAATAACAGAACAAAAACTATTACGATCATTTGTAGTATTCTTTGGCGTAAATGCCATACAAAAGATTTCAAGAACCAGCATGACTGAGTAGAAAGCAATGGCTGAACAACAGAACATAGCCTTGAACTATTTTACCCAGCTGTTAAATGAGGACTGCCTCCCCACCCTCCTGCCATAACTATCAAAACAGAAAATTACATAAAAAAATACACACACACAAACTGACTCAACAAAGCAGCCCGGGTAACTTGCCTCTCGGGTCTGTGGTCTCTGGTCTTCTTTACATGGCTTCCTGTAGGTTCTCTTCTGGGATTATAAGTATCTGCCACCCAAATCAAACTATCTTTACCCCCTTGCTCACTTCTCTATATATAGAAAACTTGGCTTGTGTCATTTATTCATATACATTGAGCTATCAACTATACCAAAACAAACAGAAACTATTCTCAGCAAGTGAGTCCTGTTACAAACCATCCAGTTAATTATAATTAAAATAGAGATGCTCGCTTTTCATCACGCCTATCTACCTCCCAAACCAATAATCCTTAATTCATTGTTACTATGCTTCACATTTTATATGAACATATGTAACCACATAACAAAATGTGGTTACCTTCCCCATACTAATCTTAACGAAGCTAAAATTTAAGTTACAACTGTATCTTTACCAAGCTTTAGTACAATTCCATTCTAGGTGAATGCCTAAATAACTTTCCTTATTTTACTGCATATAAAGCCATCTGGAGCTTCCTGGACACTTCTTTCCTAAACAGAATATAATGTATACCCAATAACATTAAGCATGGCACTATACTTCCAAAATAAGATTTCCTGGGCCGAGGATTTAGCTCAGTGATGTAAGTGCCTGTCTGGCAAGCACAAGGACATGAGTTCGATCCCCAGTACCAAAAAAAAAAAAAGAAAGAAAGAAAGAAAACACAAAACAAGGTTTCTTTTTTACCCTTTTTTTTTTTCCTTTTTCTTGGTACCGGGGATCAAACTCAGGACCACCTGCTTGCAAGGCAGGTGCTTATGCCACTGAGCTAAATCCCCAGTCCCTAAAACAAGATTTCTTTAAATGAGTGACTTGGAAATAAAATATTTCCCTTAGTATTTTTAAATAGAAAGCTCTAGGCTCAGTGTTTTAAAGGACGCAAGACTTACCAGTATCTTCCTAGTATGTCTTTAGTGTTTCTGCTCTTATAACTGTATTTGCTTCTTAGTTGTCCCAATAACTACAGAACACAGACTGAGTGTTCCCTGAATGCTGAAGGAGATACTTTAGCTCTCTGATAGCTTCTAACTTCAGTGTTTGGTGGAATGACCTCAGGTGGTGAGAAAAGACTGGGAGCAGCTGCAGAGCACCTACAATCTACCTCCTACCCAACAATCTACTATGCCAACCATGATGTGAAAGCTATTCTATTCTACCATGATCAGAAAACATACATTCCTTTCAGTTTATTTCTAGGGCTAATTGATTATAAATTATCCTATAAAATGTACACATTTCTCTCAAATCCAGGATCAAAGATAATGTCCTAGTTTAAAATGTTTATACCAAAAATTATTTTTAAAGTAATGATTTCCTGAATACATTTTATTTCTAAGTACAAGTTAAGCCGCCCCTCAAAGTAAAACACAGATAATTTTAATTCCAATATCTCCAATTTAAGTATAAAATTTACATATTATTCTTCCTTATATTTTTAATATACATGTATTTTATACATTTTAAAATCTTATAAGCCAGGCATAATGATGCACAAGTATAATACCAACACTCAAGAATTTGAGAGAATAGACCTCTAAGTTCAAGGCAAGTCCTGACTATACATTAGATTCCATCTCAAAAAACCAGAAAGATACAACAACAAAAAAACTTTATGTAGGGGTTGAGACCACAGCTTATAGTAAAACACTTGCCTAACATGCATGAGACCATGGGTTTGATCTGTATCATCTCTCCAAAATAAATAAAATAAAAAAAGTAAATGTTATATAAGTAGTATACTGCATATATTTTTCCAGCATACTCTAACAAGTTTAAGACATAAAAATTTAAATAAATATATCAGTTATTTGTCAAGAAATTTTATGCATCAAATTTTTATTTCCTAGAATTCAAAGCTTGGAAAAGAAACCTTCCTTATAGACATTATTATTAGGTTTCCATATAACACAGAGATCTCAGATGCACAAAGCAGCCTACCTTAAATAACACATCTTACAAGAAATGGTCTGGCCTCATACAGAAAATAAGTAATACAATTTAGAGACATTATATGTAGAAGTCTTAACAGGAAGCCTGAGGTTCTAAACCTGCTTAGAACTCAGCTCTTTATTCAGTCTGATTTTTTTTTTCCTTTTTGCAATGCCTAAATATAGAATTCAGGGCCTCACACAAACTAGGCAAACACTTTACAACTAAGCCACACTCTCAGTCCCTCAACCTAAAACTTCATACACTACACCTCACAGTTCTTTCAATTGGAACAAGTCAATTATGAAAACAATGTTACTTAAATTAAGAAAAACATAAATCAGAAATCTCTAATGAGGAATGAAATCTGCTAGAAGACAGTAATTTGAAGGCCCATTCCACATATTATTGTAAAGCATATAAAAATGATTGATGACCAGGCCTATTTCTTTTACTATGAAAACTGAAGTTGCTGTGCAGAAACCTGAGACCAGTAAAAAGCCAGTAACACCTCCTTCTGCCTTTCAACTTCCCTTTTCTTACTTACAAAGGCACCAACTAAATGGAAGTATTGAGACTCAGAATCAACACTTTCACTTTCTTCGCATAATGTTGACTTCCTCACTGCAAGGACACCAAAATAGAAAAATGCTGTCTTTAAAGGCTGTATTTCACACAAACGTTAATAAAATTAAATTTCTCCCCCCAAATTTTGTGGCAAGTCCGTCATTTATTTTCAATCTTCCACTATTACAGTGATTTTCAAAAAGTAATCTTTAGTGACACAGATGATCTGGAAACCATTTCAGGGAGTCCATGAGATCAAAACTCCCTTCCTACTAAGCTATATTTACCCATCTCGCTGTACTTACCTGACATGGACAATATGAAAGCGAAAGTGGATGAAACCGTAGTGCAGCCAGGCGTTGTGGTACATGGCTGGGAACCCAGTACTCAGGAGGCTGAGGCAGGAGGTTCAAGATCAGCCTGGAGTACAAAGTGAGTTCAAGGTCATCCTGAACTGCAAAGTGAAACCCTGTCTCAAAAACATTAGGAAAAAAAAAAAAAAAACAAACCTGTAGTGCTTTGGGCACAAGTCAAGGCTGACTCACCAAAGACACTAGTATTGTTCACTACTAGGTACTCATATTTTAAAGTAGCTGTTTCACTTAAGGATGTCCTTGACAAAGAATAGTAACTATGTTATTGAATTATCTATCCTCTCCATTCTCTCCAAGGTCTTCGCATACACAGAAGTGAACATTCTGTCCTCTTGCACATGTTCCAGGAAATATGTACAAGAATGTTTCCAAACTAGAAACAATGTAATGCCTCAAAGGAATATAAATAAATGTGTTATAAGCAAGAGCACATTACAAAATCAACAATCTCAAAGTTAAATTAAAAAAGAAATCGCTATGGAATATATGATGTGATTCTATTTACAAAAAGTTCAAAGGGGTAAAACAGTAAGGAAAAGATTGTCACTGGGTTTTGTGGTGCACACCTGTAATTGCAGCTGCTCGGGAGACTGAAACTGGGCAATTTAGCAAAACTGTCTCTAAATTAAAAGGGGGGGCTGGAAATATAAAAGATTGTAAGCTGAGGGCTACTGTGGGCAATTTAGCAAGATTGTCTTACAGAAAACAATTATAGGCATTCAGGATTCTAACATGAAAACACATGCATTCTATGCCAACCTAGGTTATTGTGATACAGGTAAACATCATAATTGCATTTAAAATGTTTATGTTTTACACATTCTGCCACATCCACATTTCAGTGTTAAAGAAAACAAGAATGAAGAATTGCTTCATTATGACACTAAACTTCTATTGAATATTTTGATATAAAAAGATGCATATAAAATTACTAAACCAACATCTCATTTTAACAGCTTTACCATAAAATTTTATAGTTTCATTGTTTATAGGACTATTTTCTAAGCCCAGAAAATAACCAATTTTCTTTAAGTTAGTTACATATAGATTTTTAAAAAATGTACCACACAACTCTGAACAAACACAATGATCACTATATGACTGAGCATCATACATAGATAAAGGCATCATTTAAAGCCATTTTACTTCCCGCTACCTTCAAGAGTTTCTAACACATATAGCAGAAGACAGAAGGACAGAACCCAAGGATACACTAAATAAAAAAAGCAATAAAAACTTCTAAGCAGTGATTGTCTTTGGACAACAGGACTGAGTGGAAAGGGTATAGGGAGGGTGTTTTTCATTTTATGCCCCTCTGTTACATCTTAAACAATACCCATATATCACTTCAATAACTTTTTAATATAAAACTATTAATTCAATCTTCATACAAGCATTCCTGCTGTTTAAAACTTCCTGTTCTGGCATGGAACTGGGAAAAAATAAAGAAGATTCAAGGATCAGTGGGACAGAATAGAAAATGCAGAACCAGGGGCTGGGGATTTAGCTCAGCGGCATAAGCACCTGCCTTGTAAGCAGGCAGTCATGAGTTCGATCCCTAGTACCGATAAAAACGAAAAAGACAAAAAAAAAAAAAAAAAAAAGAAAATGCAGAACCAACTCCAAGCACGCTCAGTTACCTTATCTTTGACCAAGGAGTCAAATGCCTTTACTGGAAGATAATTTCTTTAATAAATGGTGTTGGGAAACTTGCTTTCCACATGCTGAAGAGTAAACTTAGACAGTTATCTCTCATCGTGCACTAAACTAAACTCAAAATGGATTAGAGATCTAAATATTAAAACAGAAACAATTTGCTAGAAGATAGAATAGGTAGAATTCTTAAAGACACGGGTGTGTCAAAAATTTCATATACAAAATTCCTATTGCACAGGAAATATTACAAAGAATCAACAATTGGGATTACATCAAATTACGCTTTTGCACAGCAGAAGAAACCATCAACAGAGTGAAGAGACAACCCACAAAATGGGAAAAAACTTTTCTCAGCTACTCTTCAAAGGACTAATATCTAGCATATATGAAGAACTAAAAAAAAAAAACCACTCTCCCAAATCTAAAGACACAATCCAAAAATGAGCATCTGAAATACTTTTCTCACATGAACTATAAATAAATGAATAAATGTATTAAAAACTGTTCAACATAACTGATTAGAGAGATGCAAATTAACCACCTAACAGTTTTACCTCCAAAGTCACTTAGGCAGTATGTTCATTTACCAATTATCTTGAGTGTTCCTTGGGCAAGTATATTTAAACCAACTGATTCTTGCACTGAATTCATTTGATAAAATTGTCATATTTCCTGTCATATTATCTTATAAAAATATGCAATTCTTGGTCATCATGTATTTAATTAACTGAACTGGTAAATGATTAAAACACTGAGATTCCATCTCACTCCAAAAGAAATGGCTATCATCAAGAAATAAACCAATAACAAATGCTAGTAAGAATGTGGGCAGAAGTGTAAATGGTACATCCAATATGGAAATCAGTCACAGAGAAACCCAAAGGGTAAATAAGGAGCAAAATGGAGGATAAATATTGAGAAGTAGGAAGAACTTGTTCAAATGAGGAGGGGAACTGGGCGGGAGGGCAAAGAAAGGAAAATGATTTTTAAAAAAGACGATGGAAGAACAAAATGGAAACAAAGCTTTTGTGAAGCAGAAGAACAGCTGAAGGGAAGGGAGGGAAATAAGAAAAAAGAATTAAAATATATTGTGTACAAATTCCCCATGGTCCATCATTACATATGGCAAACACATACTAATAAAAACCATTTTTAAAAATAAAATTGTCCCCTCCATAGCAGGAGGAATTGAATGGAGAGCCTTTACACTGAGTTATCATCTCTTAGCTTGCATTTTGAGCCAGTGTCCTACTAAATTGCACAGGCTGGGCTTGAATCTGTAATCCTCCCTCAAACCCAGAGAGTGCTGGGATTACTGCCAATGCACCATCACACCTGACTGCATTTTATTTTTTAATTTTTAATCAATTCCAAGGTACACAATATGAAGGAAAAAAATATATTAATTACTCAGCAATTAAAAGGCAAAAGAAAGAAGAATTCTAAATTCTTCTGAGGAAAAAAGAAAGTAAAAATGAAGGTCAGAAATAGGTTCTTGATGATGACAATGATGGTATTAATTCACACATTTATAAACTGGAAGAGAAGAAATCAAAACTTTTCTTCACAGAAATTTTAAAAACTAAAGCGTAGCTATGTAATTCCTCTCTCTCCGACAACAAAGCAAATAGTACCCAATGTATTAGTTTTCTCCTAAGGAACAAATGGATGGTGCCTAGAACTCAAACTAGAAAAGACATCTGTAGTATTGCTCAACTGTTAACATTTACTATGTGGCACAGCACATTTGGCAAATTCACCAATGGAAGAAACAGATTGCTCTAATGGTTGAAAAGTGCCCTAATCATTTTAATTAACTAAAAAATACTTCTAATTTTATTTCTACCATTTATATAAAACAGATCCTAACTAAAGGACAAAAATATTCTAGCCAACTGATAAACACAATAATTGTTTTCAGATTGTTTTGCTGGCAAGACTCTTTTCCCAATTCACGTAAGAGTCAGTGAACACGTAACCACAATCCATTAGACAGGACGTGACATGAGAAAAGGACTACAAGTATACAACCAATGATGCTGCTTTAAAAAAAAAAAGCCTCAAGAAGCCCCAAAATTCATAACCAAGCATCATATGGCTTTTAAAAATTAATTTTCTGAAATTATTACAAATAATAATAGTATTAGTTCTCGAGAGTAATTTTCTAAATACTAAATGCCACTCTCTATCAATACCAGTTCCTGCAATGAAAGAACACTAGAATACTTCACATATAAGATAATTATATTGAAAAACAAAAATCAGTTTATTTTTTTTTCAGTTTATACATCACGGTCAATATGGTAGTAAGCTGGGAGTGAAGAGCACGCAAAATCACAGAAAAGGAAAACTGGAGAGACATAACTGAAAGGCACAGGAACAAAAGGAGTGCAGGGATAACTAGGATACAAACAAGAGCCTATGTACGTTTTACCACTGATAAACAATGTCCCGTTCTGTCACTAGTAATGCGCTTTGAAATATCACTGCCGCTTAAAAACTCAAATATTAATTAAAATGCTAAGTAATTTATTCCTCCTCAAAACCTTAAACCTATAAAACTTTCTGAGGATATAGCCTTATAAGCACCTGTATCATAATCCTCTATCTTACTTATAAAAAGGGTGATTACTAAACTAAAAAATAGGCTACACTTAATAAATAAGAATCTGAGCTGAAACTAGGTGGCTCTTTATTACACCAAAAGTTGATAAGTGCTGATTTAAAAGTATACTTTTCTTCTTTCTATTCTTAAAATTCTAGCAATTAAACATAGGAAGTAGAGTATTATTACCAGTCCTTTTAAAAAAAATTTTTGAAACAAAATCTTGGTAAATTGCCAAGGCTGGCCAGAAACTTGGGATTCTTTTGTTTCAGCCTCCTGAGTAGCTGGGATTATAAGTGTACATCATGAACTCAGTTTAATTTTTTCATTGAACTATAACATGTAGACACCAGGTAGAGTTTAAACTGACAGCTGTATGCCTTTTAAAGATTTCCCACTCTTGTCATAAGACCTAGACATCTCGATTTGTCATATAATATGGAAAAAAGCTAAGTGTTCGATGCAGTAAATAATCTTTGTCTGCCCATGTATCTTTGTTGTTACTTTGTAAAAATTAAGATTTTTTTTTTTAATTCTTTGGTGATATTATGGTTGGGTTTGAACTCAAAGCCTCATGGTAGACAAGCATCCTACCACTGAGCTATAACCAGTCCTCAAAATTTTTATCATTCTTCTCAACTTAGGCAAATATAATTCATTCTTCAGTACTCATAATTCTTTCAAGACAAACTTTCCTATTTTTAAATTTTCAATCATCTTTCATCTCCATAAACAGTGTAAACCTGAACTGAGTGAGTTGGTTAGTTGTAGTCTTTATTTATTTGAACATACATTACCAAGCCCTGTTTTCCCAGCAAAAATTTAAGTACATGAGGATAGAGCTCATGCTTCTAGCCTTATATAGTTTGTTGCTCTTCAGATAGTGATGGCCATGCTGTAGAGGATCTGACATTGAACTGTTTGATTAGAACACTCAGAAATGTAGAAGATTCAACAACTTATACACAAAGTTAAAAAAAATCCAAACTGCAGACCTAAGGAACTAGCAGATCTAAAATAAATTTCTAACCAACATATCGAAAAGTTATCTGAAAAAGACTGTGCATTTTCAGCGTGCCATATATATAAATAACATGTTAAGCTCTCAAAGGGGAACTAGGATAAGACAAAGACAAATGGGATAAAAATTACAAATTACTATTTATGAGGTCAAATTTAAGATGTGTAATATTAAAGCTTAGAGACCAGTAAATTTTATAGCTTCTCCAAAGCTTCTAACACATGCACACATGCATGCAAACACTTTAATACAAAAGATATACTGAATAGTATCTGTGTTACTAAAAAAATACAAGGTAAAAATCAAAGAGAAATAAACCTATCTTTGTATTCTAAAATTTAAGTAAGTTTCAAACAACTTGTATTTCCATCTGGGACTACAGTACACAGCCAGCATCATGAACTTTGCTTCGACTCTCAAAAAAAAAAACAAAACAATCTGAATAGTGGGAAAAAAGCTGTAGAAATTAAACAGATATATTACCTCTCTGAAGAAAAAGAAAACTACTGTACCTTGAACACATTTTCAAACCACTGGTTACTTCATTTGATTGCTTATCAAAAATCATCACTAAATAACTTAATTAAGCTTTTATTTTCTCTTAAAGAAATACAGATTATTTCAAACAAAGCATCACTTGTTGGTACAGACTAACATGAGCAGGTCGACTGGAAGCCCTACCTAACTTGGAGGCAGTCACAGCACCTCTTTGGGCTACTATTTAGTTATCTACAAAAGAGAGGCAACTGGACAATCTTCAGTCTCATTCAGCAATGAAGTTCTTTATACCAGAAATTTTAACTATAATTCTGATGATTCAATGTAAACTTATATTCACTCTATGTAAGGAAAAGAGGTTGTTGGGGCTAGGGGATGTGTAATAAGCCTTTCTAGCCTTCTTTTCCATTTTTTTCCTACTCCCGTTTAAAACTTTACCTTCATCTTTTATTACACCTGAAATGGATATATATGACAGATGTCTACGTTATCTAAACTGCACCATCTTAAGAAGCTACATCCTACTTCAATTTTAAAAAGATGTTGCTTATTTGTGTATTTCTTGATTTCTCTTTATTAAAGAACTAAAAAAAAAAAAAAGCAAAAAAGTTGTCACTGGATTTTTCACGCAGTGCAGTCTTGAGTAAATACAGCCTCTGCTTTCTCAAAGGCTAACTAAACCAGCAATACGCAAGCACGAAGAAGACAGCAAATGGCTCAGAGCTGAACTGGCAAAATGTCCGTTGTGCCTTTCTTATAAGATTATGAAATTGAAATCTGCTAATATCAACATGCCTTTCAAAAGACAGTAAAAAATAATAACAGACTATCTTTCCTTTCAAATCCGATAGGATTTCAAGTACTTAGAAAGTTAGTAAGAATTCTCAAATAACTAGCAATTGAACACAGGGAGTAGAGTATTATTACCAGTCCTTTTAAAATAACTTTTGAAACAGAATCTTGGCAAATAATAAATAACTTCATAAATTTTATTTCCCAAACTTTTATTCCTAATCACATTTACATTTTACTTTTGTTTAACTTTTAATTTCATGAACATGTTTCAAAAGTTAAATACTATTATATTCAGCTTCTCGGACTATCTAGAACTTCAAGGTATTCTAGAATATACATTTGCTGGCCAAAAATCTTACAATTTCAATGATGACAAATATTTCAGGAAAAGACTGACCAATCCTCTCATTTATGAAAGATTTTTAATTTTTTTATTCAAAACAATCAAATTTTAAAAGCACTGGTACAGGAAAGGTCAATATTCCACTTTTCCTTTTTACATACAATTAAAATAGTTATATGTTTTGTAGAAGACAACTTCACTTCTAAGGTTATTATTCAAAATAAGCTTCCAATCTGAATTGTAAAACTTCATTTTTTTTCTAGTAGTAAATGATTCATTCTAGTCTTATCATTATTTCCTCTACTTTTTATCTAAATGACTGCTTAGTTTTCAAAATGCAATATTTAGTATAATTCATTAACTTTTTAAAAGAAAATACAGAATAGGATGAGCAATACCTATCACTGAGTAATCCCAAAACTTCATCCTTAATTAAAATGCCAAAAGTAAAGTCACTACTCTTAAATTTTTAACATCCACATCACACTGAGTATTCTAGTTTACTTAATTGTAACTTCCTAGCTGCCCCCACAATTACAAAATTTGACCTACTTAGCTTTGTGTAGTTAAAAAAAAAAAATCTCCTTTCATCACACAGGGAAAAAAATACCAATCACATACAAATAAAAATGCTTTACCAAGAAGACTTAAAACTTCCCAACATTTCAATGCTTTGTTTCCCTCTAATAGTTGAGTGCAATCAGGCATGTGACTGACTATACACATTTTATCCAAGTTAAACAACATTTTCAGCCATGTTCTTTGGCAGGTAAGAACCACCCTTCATTTATCAGCTCAAAAATTAGCCAGAAGCAAACACACAAAATCATAACACAAGTTACCTTCAAACATTCTTTCTCTTTAGATTTCGCCTCTTGGGCTTGAAAATAAAAAGCAATCCGGCAAGTTTTATGCTGTTAAAATGGCTCCTGTAGATTGGGGAAGTGGTGTCTGTGCTCTAGCTTATGAGTCATACATGAAACTAAGTGTTTCTAAGGAGACACGCCCATGTTGCTGTGGACCCAATTATTCTGCCGGGTCAAACATGCAAATCGACAGGTAAAAGCAAGGAAGGGGAGGTTAACAGGACAAGGAGGGATGTAAACCTCTCAAGAGAGCAAAATCTATCCTTGATGAAACTATTACCAAACTCATGTAAATTGCCATAATTTAAATTTAACAATAAAACAGAATGAGACTCTGTAAGAAAGCAAAATTAAACACTGTATATTGTTTTTAAATATAAGCTATCAATTTTTAAAACTGATTTTTATGTATCAAATAAATACATCTATGAATGGGAAAAAGTATGAGAAAAGATGGGAGACAGACTGTGAACTGTTGCTCTGTAACAATCGACTGGTGGGTCTTATCTGGCTATTCATTAACCCTTATATGCATGGGATAGATTGCTATGTAATCTGGAAAAGCCAGCAAACTGCAATAGTATATGCAGATTTATAGGTTCTCTAAACAGATAAAATCTACTAGAAAATTCAAAGTTCAATGGAAAAATAAATGTGAATTAATATGGCTTATAAAAATTTTTTAAATCCATGTTAGGAAGTCTATCTTAGCAAAATGACTTTGAATAGAACTTCAAGCTTGATAAAATCCCACAAAAAACAATGCAATCACAATATAAAACTATTTCCAAATGACAGTCATGAAATGAATACAATTTAGCAAGATTTTCTTCCTTTAGATAATTACTTAAGAGTAATTGTTCTGCTTTACTAGAGGCATAGATGAAAAAACAAGCTGTCACTGACTTGAGAACTCCACAGACTACTAAAAAACATTATTATAAACCTACTTTCAGCCTACTAATTGCCTATTTTTTCCATTCCACTACACATTGCTAAGTTTATCTTTTTACTGAAATAATGTCCATGATTTAACAAATTGTTCACTAAACAGTATGCAAAAAACAGTATTACTTTTTCTATAGCCAAATGTCACATTTAGTCCACTCTAGCTCACTTACATCAGAAATAAGGTTCTCTGAGCAGTCAAAGGAAGTCAGTCTTCTGGGAAGTCCCCAAGTTATTTCCCAAGCTGAAACTTATTTTGGAAAAAATCCATGCACCCAATAAGTCAAGCATCATTTTTTAGTTAATTTGAATTAGAAATTATAAAGAATGAAAGAGGGCAATAGTAAAATGATGTCATCAGGGGAAATAGCTGATGACAAAATTTTGGGGAAAAAAAACTTATAAAACAACATATAACTTAAAAAGTGCTTGATCTGAAGCCATTCTGGAATGCCACTAAATTGTGCATATTCTCTCAGTATATACTATACACAAAGTGTCTTGATGTTAGCATTAGTGTGGTACAGGTTTTCAGACACAGTATCAAGTTGGTTAGGGTTGGGTTTTTTTTTTTTTTTTACAATGTACAGATACATTAATGGATAAGCTGCTATTGAAAAATTCTACTGATCTAAAACACTTCATCACTCAATAATAGGTAAATTTGGAATATAATTTAAAAGTACTTTTTATCACCAGTATAAACACAGAGGAGACTTAAAGTACAAATAAATTACTCCTCTTCAATGCAAACAAGTATTCAAAAGGAGATGATCCCAGACAATATACTGTCCCTTTCCCTCAATAATGAACCTCTTAGAAATATTGTACCAACTATTGGAACTGGATCCCAGGTATACTCACAACACTCCCCATCAAAAGAAATTAATATCTTCATGATAGTGTATGAAGGAAAAAATATAAGCAAGTGGTTGTTCTACAATCTACTTGGGTTCAAAATCCAATTCTGCCACCTATTACTATACCTACCTACTTTTCAGCAATGACTTAAGCCTGTACCATCATTTCTTTGTAATACAGACTAACAGTATCCACTGCAAAGGGTAATTGTGAGGATTAAAATAAATCAATGTACTGATCCTAGGATCTAAAGGAAATAAGTTCGCAAACAACTTTTCACAACTCAAAAATAAGAAAACTTACTTTTAAATGGTCTAATATGCTCAGACACTTCACCAAAGAAGAGATACAGATGGCAAAAAAAGCACAGGAAAAGATCTTCGCATCAACATTCAATAGGAAATGTAAATTAAAGTTGTAAGTTTACTTCACACCATTTAGAACAGTTTAAAACAAACAGGAATGAGGATGTAGCTCAATGCTAAAGTGTTTGCCTACCATTTGCAAGGCTCAGGGTTCAATACAACACTCCAAAACCAAACCAAAAAACTGACAATACCAACTGTTAACAAGAACATGAAGTAACTGTAACTCTCATACACCGTCACTGGAAAGCTACTCTGAAAGACACTTTAACAGTTTCTATGAAAAAAAACTAAGCAAAAAAAAAAAAAAAAGCCTAAGCAAATATTTGTTATTCATAATTAGATATTGGAAACCTAAATGTCCATCAATTGGTGAATGAATAAACACACTGTGGTATATCTATATAATGGAGTTATACTCAGCAATACACAGGTAAGAGTTTATAAATTTCTGACATGGATGAATTTAAAAGCGTTACTTTAAATGAAATAAGCCAAAATACATAACACATGATTCTATTTATGTGACATTCTGAAAAAGTCAAAATGAAAGATACAGCAATCTTATCAGTGGTTGCCAGGGTGTGGGAACAAGCATAGGGGATTAACCACCACAGAGAACAGGAAGATTATTTATGGAGTCATGGAAATAATCTGTACCTTGATTGTAGTACAGGATATATAACTTGTTAACATTGTATATGTTGACAAAATTCACATAACATAAAACTTATAAATGGGGTAAATTATACTACATATAAATTATATCTCAATAAACCTGAATTTTAAAAAGGAAATTTAGTCCGTATTTATGAAGGCTTATCCTGGATATAGAGCTAAGCACTTGATAAATATTAGCTGTTATTACTATAATTTATAAAAGCAATATTAATACTTCAGGATGACAAATCTTAACTAAATATCTACACTTTTGAAGATGGCAACTTAAGACATGTAATGGACACATAATGTATTTGTACCTATTGTGGATGTATCAATTCAAAAATTAGATATCGAGTCAAATATATATCATAATGTATGGCTGCCTACAAAACTGTTAACATCTGCATTTGAATTATTAGTTGTGTCAAGTGAATGAATTTATTAAATGCCAACTAAAGTTAAGACATCATTTTTTCCTGTTAAATAGAATTTATTTAAAAATTATTGTAATATAGCTAAGGCTTTCTATTTCACAAGTCCATCTTTTCTTGAGCTCAGATTTGAAGATTCTGGTACATAAAAACATAGAACATAATTTTTATATAGACTAATAGCACCTACTTCAAAGAATTATTGTGATGATTAAACTAACTGCTGCTAGTATCTAAAGAAAATAAGTTTAGATACTGCTATTGTTACCTGTATAAAGAAATTTCACAACTCAGAAATAAGAAAATAACCAATTTTTAAATAGACATGAACAACAACAACAAAAATAGACATGAACAGACACTTCAAGCACAAGAAAAGATACAGATGTCAAAAAACCACATGAAAAGATCTCAATGTCAACACTCAGGGAAATGTAAATAAAAGTCATAATTCCACTCCACACCATTAGATTACAAAGCTCCTAGTTTTAATCCCCAGTCCTTAAGTTTTATCTCTAGTTATTCCCTTAGAAAACTTTAATTTTTAAAAATGGCTGGTGAGCTGGACTGAGGACTCATGCCTATAATCCCAGCACTCAGGACCTAGAGGCAACAGGCTCCTGGATTCGAGGTCAGCATGGATTCCATATTAAGTTCAAAGACAGCCTTCTAGACTACATTTTTTTTTCAAATCCATTTTATTTCAAAGAGAAAAAAATAAAAAACTTCAAAACATGTCAATCAAGGAAATAATGGTACATACATTGCATTTTTTTTTGGCAGTACCGAAAATCGAACTCACAACCTCACGCTTGCCAGGCAGGCACTTATGCCACTGAGTTAAATCCCCAGCCCCTACATTGCATATTTTTATCCCCAAATCATTCACCCAGAGCACAAGACATCTGGATTCAATTGTCTAAACAATACTAGGACAAATCTTTCTCTTCAGTAGTATAACTATCATAACTATTTTTATATATGTATGCATATACATACATTGCTTCTTTCAGCTTCTCCACTAGTGAGACAATATTTTGTTTACACATGCATGTGATTTATCTCACTTATGAGTATGGTCTCAAGTTGCATACCTATAAAAGTCTCCAGTTTATCCTTCTTTATGGCCAAGTAATACTCCATTGCATAAAAATATATCTTTTTTATTCATTCCTCAATCAATGGGCATTTATGTTGTTTTCAAGATCTATCACAAATTATGCTGCTATAAACCTGGGTGCCTATATCGCTGTGGTATGATGTTTTTTGGGGGGGAAGATTCCCAGGAGAATAGCTGGTTCAAATGCAACCTTTAGTCCTGGTTTTTTGAGGAATCTCCACACTGATTTCCACAGTGGTTGCACCAGTCTACACTATTAGCAACAGCGAAAAAGAGTTCCTTTTTCCCCATAGCCCCCCAGTATTTATTACTAGTTGATTTCTTGGTCTTGGCCATTCTTTCCAGGGTGAAGTGAAATCTCAGTGGGCTTTTTTTTTTTTTTTTTTTTTGTCTTTTTCCTTTTTATCGGTACGGGGATCGAACTCACGACTGCCTGCTTTCAAGGCAGGCACTTATGCCGCTGAGCTAAATCCGTAGCCCTCAGTGTTGTTTTAAGTTACATCTTTCAAATGACCAGTGATACTGAACATTTTTTCATATATTTATTTGCTGTTTGTATTTCTTCATCTGAAAAGTGTGTATTCATCTCAGATGCCCATTTTCAGAATGGGTCTTTGAATGTGGGAAGACTGATTTTTTTTAGTTCTTTATCTGTTCTCCATAGTAATCCTTTGTCTCAGGTATAGCTGGCAGACATTTTCTCCCACACTGTGGGTTGCTGAACTACATTTTGAAACCTTGTTTCAATTCAAAAAGGGCAGGGTTGTGGTTTGAAACTGTCCCCTGGTCAGGA